TAGATATTATAATTATAATATTAACATTTTTACACTATTTTATTAAACACTATAAGTTTTATTAACGTATCGACAAGTTAACATTCGCTGCGTTTTTTTATATTTGGATTAAATTCTTAAATAATTTGTTTAAACGTGTATATGTTGTTATATATCATTAGAAAGCTAATTAAATTATCTACAAATCTGTATATAACGTTTCATAACATTTTGAACAAAATTAAATACTAAAAATGAGCGATTCAAAATTTAGTGCCAGCCGGTTAAATTATGGAACTGAATGCATATTAATTTATTAATATATAAACTGTATAACATTTTAAACATAATAAATAACAAAACAGCAATTTTATATATTATCGATTCTCTTATTTACATTTAATTTTGAATTTCACTTCGACCTGTCAAAAAAGGCGCCAACACAAATATTTCACCTGAAGTCGTTCGCGAGAACTTCAACAAATATTAAAAATGTGTGAAATTTAAAATTTAGTGTAAGCCGGTTAAATTATGGAACTGAATGCACATTTATTTATTAATATATAAACTGTATAACATTTTAAACATAATAAATAACAAAACAGCAATTTTATATATTATCGATTCTCTTATTTACATTTAATTTTGAATTTCACTTCGACCTGTCAAAAAAGGCGCCAACACAAATATCTCACCTGAAGTCATTCGCGAGAACTTCAACAAATACTAAAAATGTGTGAAATTCAAAATTTAGTGTCAGCCGGTTAAATTATGGAACTGAATGCATATTAATTTATTAATATATAAACTGTATAACATTTTAAACATAATAAATTACAACACAGCAATTTTAAATATTACCGATTTAATTTTGAATTTCACTTCGACCTGTCAAAAAAGGCGCCAATACAAATATCTCACCTGAAGTTCGTTTGCATCAACTTCACGTCGTATAACTACGAAGACACTCCACGTATCTCTCGTTGGCCGATTGTCTGTCACAAATACACATATTTACAAATACACGTATATATTCATTTTTACGTTCGAGCACTTGTCTCTCATCTAAAACGACTTTATAAATTTATTTAAGTAAATGAAACAGTAATTGTGTTAAATAAAAGTCAAAATGAAGTATTTCTTAGTGTTCTGTTTGTTAGTTGTTCCTGCAATTATTCTGACAGTGGATAATGGTAAAATATATTTTTATATATGGGTCATAAATAGCGGTGTATTTTTAATACGTGGCATTATGTAAATTAAAAGTCTACTAAGGACGTTTGGTAATGCAAATAATAGTTTTTATTGATATCTAATGCAGGTTTTAATATAAATTATTTTGTGTGCAGGATTTGTACAAAAAATGCTTGAAGGTTTAAGTCAGGTTATGTCTAACATATGCACAAGATGAAGTTTGATATTTTGAATGAAAATTGATTAAAAATGCTTTTTATATGTATTCAAAATCATTAACAGGTTTATATTTGTATATTTGAAAATGTTTTTGACTTGTTTTTCTATTTTGTAGCAAAATTTGTGCAAGATGGATAAACATTTGATATGTGGAAGAAAATTTGTACGTAGTCCTGGTTTTTGAAGAAATAACTTTGTAATTTGATTTTGAAGTATAGGAAATTAGTAATGACTATATTTTATTCTTATTCAGGGCTTTATACATAAGGGTATTGCTGAAACATTTTGCACAAGGTGTAATTTTTTAAGTGTAACAGCTTCGTCATTTGGTTTTGTATAAATTTTCTTAGAAATATGTCAAACTTCTTATATAAGAGTAAAGAATAATGAATTCGAGGTGTATATGAAAGTACTTTTAATGCATTCTTATATATGAAGCCTCAAACCAGAATAAAATCCTCTCTAAGTTAATTCTTTGTAGCCCGAAAATTGATTACAGAGTTTTTAATTAATTTGGACTGCAAGAACTTAATAATGGCAAGATTTTATACTTATTTGATGTTTTATATATAAGAATATTTTTAAAACATCTCATGGGTACTACGAGTTTATTTTTCTTTACACTTATATAAGTATTAAAGTATGGACTGCATTAAAATAACTTCATAGATCCTTCGAAGCCTCTTTTTCTTTGGTAATTTTATCAATTTACAAGAAATATAAAAAATAATGTATTTGGAAGAAGTTTTGAACAATGTTCAAGATTTTAAATTAATAATTGTATAATAATGTTTTTGACTTACAGGAAATTATATTTAAGAAAAGAATGAAAACATAAAAAAATTCCAAATTCATTTTTCTTTATACTTTTCTTATTATAAAAATATAGACAGTATAAAAATACTTTTAAAGAGCCCTCGAGGTTTTTTTTATTTGCTAAATTCATAATTTTTTACAAGATATAAAAAATTTGATATATTTATATATAGAAATACATTTAAAACATTCTTGTAGGTACCCTGAATTAATTTTTATAGGTATAAAAATATAGATTGCATTAAAATACTTGCAAAGACCCTTCGAAGCCTTTCTTCTTTGCTAAATTCATAATTTTATACAAGATATAAAAAAGTTTGATATATTTATATATAAGAATACATTTAAAATATTTTTATAGGCCCTCTGAATTCATTTTTACAAGTATAAAAATATAGAATGCATGAAAATACTTGCATGGACACTTCGAAGCCTTTTTTCTTTAGTAAATTCATTTTTCAAGAAATTTAAGATATTTGGAAGAAGTTTTATACAATGTTCAAGTTTTTAAATTAATAATTGTATAATAATGTTTCTGACATACACAAAATTATATTTAAGAATAGATTTGAAACATTTTCAAAGATCCTCCAAATTTCTTTTCACATACTTTCTAATTATGAAAATATAAACTTTTAATTTATAAATATTAAAATACTTCCATAAACCCCTCGAAGCTTTTTTCTTGAGAAATTTGATATATTTATTTATAAGAATACATTTAAAATATTTTTATAGACCCCTTAAAACCATTTTTATAAGTATAAAAATATAGATTGCATTAAAATACTTTCAAAGACCCTTCGAAGTTTTTTTTCTTTAGTAAATTCATCATTTTTCAAGAAATTTAAGATATTTGGAAGAAGTTTCGAACAATGTTCAAGTTTTTAAATTAATAATTGTATAATAATGTTTCTGACATACACGAAATTATATTTAAGAATAGATTTGAAACATTTTCAAGGATCCTTCAAATTTCTTTTCACATATTTTTTAATTATAAAAATGTAAACTTTTAACTTATAAATATTAAAATACTTTCATAAACCCTTTTTCTTGAGAAATTTGATATATTTATTTATAAGAATGCATGTAAAACATTTTTATAGGCACTCTGAATTCATTTTTAAAAGTATAAATATATATAAACTGCATCAAAATACTTGCAAAGACCCTTCGAAGCCTTTTTTCTTTAGTAAATTCATCATTTTTCAAGAAATTTAAGTTATTTGGAAGAAGTTTCGAACAATGTTCAAGTTTTTAAATTAATAATTTTGTAATAAGGTTACTGACTTACAGGATATTATATTTAAGACTAGTATTAAACCATTTTCAAGGATTTTTCAAATTCATTTTTCTTTACACTTATATAAATATAAAAATATAGACAGTATAAAAATTATTTCAAAGACCCCTCGAAGCCTTTTTTCTTTGCTAAATTCATAATTTTTCACAAGATATAAGAAATTTGATATATTTATATATAGGAATACATTTAAAACATTTATATAGGCACTCTGAATTCTTTTTTATAAAATTAAAAATATAGGCTGCATTAAAATACTTGCATAGACTCCTCGAAGCCTTTCTTCTTTGCTAAAAACATCATTTTTCACAAGATATAAGAAATTTGATATATTTATATATAAGAAAACATTTAAAACATTTTTATAGACCCCTTAAAATCATTTTTATAAGTATAAAAATATAAGCAGCATTAAAACACTTTCAAAGACCCCTCGAAGCCTTTTTTCTTTGCTAAATTCATAATTTTGTACAATATATAAGAAATTTGATATATATATATATATATATATATATATATATATATAGGAATACATTAAAAACATTTATATAGGCACCCTGAATTTATTTTCATATGTATAAAAATAAAGACTGCTTTAAAACACTTTTATAGACTCCTCGAAGTCTTTTTTATGTGCTAAATATATCATTTCATATAAGATCTGAGAAATTTGATATGAATACAATTAAAATATCTACGAGTTTATTTTTCTTTACACTTATATAACAAATTTGTTAGATTTCTAAGAAAATTTATATAAAGACTAATTTTATTTAAGAAATAATTCTGTAATTAATTTTCAAACTACAAAAAATTGTCAACAAAAGGAATTTATATTGCTTATTAATTTAAAGACTGAATTCATCACTAAAAATAATTTTTTTTATACTGTTTTGTTAACTTTTTTTGAAAAACAATTTAAAAATTGGGGTTATTAGAAATATTTGCTTTCGAGGATGTATTATGAACAAAATAGAACAAAATTTTCTTTTCGATGTCAGGGAGGTTAGGTCTTGAGAAAAACTGATTTTTTAGAAACTTAGATGAAGACATTTATTTGGTTATGAATACTTAATAATAAACTAATGTTATTATAAATCATTAGAAAGCTAATTAAATTGACTACAAATCTGTATATAACGTTTCATAACATTTCAAACAAAATTAAATACAAAAAATGTCTGAAATTCAAAATTTAGTGTCTAGTCGTCAGCCATTTGTAGATTTCATTGGCTGCGTTTCTTTATATTTGGATCAAATTCTTAAATAATTTGTTTAAACGTGTATATGTTGTTATATATCATTAGAAAGCTAATTTAAATTGACTACAAATCTGTATATAACGTTTCATAACATTCCGAACAAAATTAAATACTAGAAATGTCTGAAATTCAAAATTTAGTGTTAAATATTTGCTTTTGAGGATGTATTATGAACAAATAGAACAAAATTTTCTTTTCGATGTCAGGGAGGTTGGGTCATGAGAAAAACTGATTTCTTAGAAAACTATTTTAGCTGACATATAATTGGTTATGAATACTTAATAATTTGTATTAATAAAAATAAAAATAGTAATATTGAAAATAAACAGACATAGAAAATCAAAAATATAAAGTGAATTCTTGTTAAAAATTGTAGAAAATATAAATCTTGTAAAAGGTTATCGTCTGATCTATTGAAAACACTATTGAAGAGTTCATAAAAATAAGACTGTTTGCTGCAAGAAGTCTTTTGAAAGTGCAATTTTGTGCAATGTATAACCAGAGCCAATTTTGAGTCTTATACATTTATGCAATTTAATATTTTCCTTTATTAATATTTATTTCTTTTATCCCCAGGTTCAAAACTTTGTGCCTATGCTGCCGAAGATGAATTAGAAGATGAACTTGTTGATGTTGAAGGCGAGAACGAAGATGGATCAGTAGTTGGAGAAGATGCACCGGATGATGAACTAGGTGAATCAACAGCATCACCGTTTGCTGATACTGTTGTACTTTTCACTAAACCAACTTCTACTGGATCCCAATTGGGTAATAAAGGAAAAATGAAATACTTTTGGTTTGGTGTTCAAATTTATTAATACTGATTCCTTTCTGTTGCAGAATTCCCTGCAGGAAAGCTTGTAGAATTCCTGGTCGGCTTCACAAACAAAGGTGAACAAGACTTTGTTTTGGAAACTCTGGAAGCATCTTTCAGGTAAGACAAATAATTCATAATCATCAACAATTTGTTAATAAAAATATGTTTTTTTATTAAACTTGTTTTTTATCAGGTATCCAATGGACTTCAACTACCATATCCAGAACTTTTCAACTTTGGCTTACAACCGTGTGGTGCCACCTAAACAAGAATCCACATTGGTGTACTCTTTTATACCAGCCGATGCTTTTGCTGGGAGGCCTTTCGGATTGAATGTTATTCTTAGCTACAGAGATGCCAGCGGGGCCAGCTTTTATGTGAGTAACCAGAAAACTTATAATTGTTTAAAATTGTAAGATTAATTGTTAAATATGCAAGTTTTCTTGAGACAAAATATATTTTTTGGAGTTCAACCAAAATTTCTATAGGTTGAACCAGATTTTTGTCTAGTTCTGGAGTTATTTTTATTGTGGGACGTTTTGGAGAGATTTTGTTGCAATAATTATATAGATATACATTTAAGGGATTTGGTAGTAAGATAAAATTATAAAATATATATGTTGTCTTGGGACGAAATGCATTTTTTTTGAGTTCAAAGTATTATGCACCAAAATTTCATTGTCGAACCAGATTTGTATTTGGTTTTATTTTTATTGTGGGAAATTTTTTGAGAGATTTTGTTCTAATAATTTTATGGATACACATTTAAAAGAATATAAAATAAGATAAAATTATAAAATATGCAGGTTGTCTTTGGGATTTTTTTGAGTTCAAATTGTACACACCAAAATTTTAATAATTTGGACAAGATGTTTGTCTAGTTCTGGAGTTATTTTTATTGTGAGAAATTTTACAAGGGATTTTGTTGTAATAATTAGGTGAATGAACCTTTAAGAGATTTGGTAATAAGATAAAATTATAAAATATGTATGTTGTCTTGGGACGAAATTTATTTTTTTGAGTTCAAAGCGTACTCACCAAAATTTCTGTAGGTCGAACCAGAATTTTGTCTATTTTTGGAGTTATTTTTATTGTTAGAGATTTTAGAGAGATTTTGTAATAATAATTTTATGGATACATATTTAAGAGATTTGGTAATAAGATAAAATTATAAAATATGCATGTTGTCTTGGGACAAAATGTATTTTCTGGCGTTTGAAATGTATGGGCCCAAAATCTAATTGTTGAACCAGATTTGTATTTGGTTTTATTTTTTATTGTGAGAAATTTTACAAGAGATTTTGTTGTAATAATTTTGTGGGTGCACATTTAAAAGAATGTAAAATAAGATAAAATTAAAAAATATGCAAGTTGTTTTGAGATAAAATGTATTTTTTGGAGTTTAAAGAGTGCACACCAAAATTTCAATAATTCGGACAAGATTTTTGTCTAGTTCTGGAGTTATTTTTATTGTGGGAAATTTTAGAGATTTTTTTGTAATAATTATATGGATACACTTTTGAAAGATCTGGTAATAAGATAAAATTATAAAATATGCAAGTTGTCTTGGGACAAAATGTATGTTCTAGTGTTTGAAATGTACGCACCAAAAATTTCGTTGTCGAACCAGATTTGTATTTGGTTTTATTTTTATTGTGGGAAATTTTACGAGAGATTTTGTTCTAATAATTTTATGGATGCACATTTAAAAGAATGTAAAATAAGATAAAATTATGAAATATGCATGTTGTCTTGGGACGAAATGTATTTTTTTGAGTACAAAGTGTACACACCAAAATTTCATTGTCGAACCCGATATGTATTTAGATTTATTTTTATTGTGGGAAATTTTACGAGAGATTTTGTTGCAATAATTATATGGATACACATTTAAAAGAATGTAAAATAAGATACAATTATAAAATTTGGTGGTTGTTTTGGGACGAAATGTATTTTTTTGAGTTCAGTTTTTCAAAATTTCGTTGCAAAATCAGATTCGTGTTTAGTTTTAGTTTTATTTTTATTGTGGGAAGTTTTGGAGAGGTTTTGTTGTGATAATTATATGGAAGCATATTTAAGAGATTTGGTTTAAAGATAAAATTATAAAATATGCAAGTTGTCTTGAGACAAAATGTATTTTTTTGAGTTCAAAGAGCACGCACCAAAATTGACCAATATAGGTCGAACCTGATTTTTATCTAGTTCTGGAGTTATTTCATTCTGAGAAATTTTAGAGAGATTTTGTTGTAATAATTAGGTGAATGTATATTTAAGAGATTTGGTAATAAGATAAAATTATAAAATTTGGTGGTTGTCTTGGGACAAAATCTCTTTTTTTGAGTTACAAGAGTATGCCCCAAAATTTCGTTCTCAAATCAGATCTGTGTTTAGTTTTAGTTTTATTTTTGTTGTGAGGAATTTTAGAGGTTTTTCTTTGTAATAATTAGGTGGATGCACATTTCAGAGATTTGGTAATAAGATAAAATTATAAAATTTGCTGGTTGTCTTGGAACAAAATGAATTTTTTGGGGTTTGAAACGTACGCACCAAAATTTCTATAGATTGAACGAGATTTTTGTCTAGTTCTGGAGTTATTTTTATTGTGAGAAATTTTAGAGAGATTTTGTTCTAATAATTTTATGGATACACATTTGAAAGAATGTAAAATAAGATAAAGTTGTCTTAGGACAAAATGTATTTTCTGGGTTTTAAAATGTTCGCACCAAAAATTTGATTGTCGAACCAGATTTGTATTTGGTTTTATTTTTATTGTGGGAAATTATGAAGAGCTTTTGTTGTAATAACTACCTGGATGCAGATTTAGGAGATTTGGTAGCAAGATAAAATTATAAAATATGCAAGTTGTCTTGGGACAAAATGTATGTTCTAGTGTTTGAAATGTACGCACCAAAAATTTCGTTGTCGAACCAGATTTGTATTTGGTTTTATTTTTATTGTGGGAAATTTTAGAGTGATTTTGTTGTAATAAGTACATGGATGCACATTTAGAAGAATGAAAAATAAGGTAGAATTACAGAATTTGATGGTTGTCTAGGGACGAAATGTATTTTTTGGAGTTCAAAGTGTTATGCACCGAAATTTCTATAAGTCGAACCAGATTTTTGTGTATTTCTGGAGTTATTTTTATTGTGGGAAATTTTAGAAAGATTTTGTTTTAATAATTATTGGGATACACATTTAAGAGTCTGTAAAATAAGATGAAATTATAAAATATGCAGGTTGCCTTGGGACGAAATGTATTTTTTGGAGTTCAAAGTGTACTTACCAAAATTTTTGTAGGTTGAACCAGATTCGTGTTTAGTTTTAGTTTTATTTTTATTGTGGGAAATTTTACGAGAGATTTTGTTGTAATAATTTTATGGATGCACATTTAAAAGATTTGGTAATAAGGTAAAATTATAAAATGCGTATGTTTTCTTGGGACAAAATGTTTTTTTTGTGTTCAAAGTGTAAACCAAAATTTCTATAGGTCGAATCGGATTTTTGTCTATTTCTGGAGTTATTCAGATTCATGTTTAGTTTTAGTTTCATTTTTATTATGGGAAATTTCGGAGAGATATAGTTCTAATAATTTGATGGATGCATATTTAAAAGAATGTAAAATAAGATAAAATTATAAAATTTGGTGGTTGTCTTGGGACGAAATATATTTTTTAGAGTTCAAACAGTACTCACCAAAATTTCATTGTCGAACCTGATATGTATTTAGGTTTATTTTTTTTTGTGGAAAATTTTACGAGAGATTTTGTTGTAATAATTTTATGGGTGCACATTTAAAAGAATGTAAAATAAGATAAATTTATAAAATATGCAAGTTGTCTTGGAACGAAATGTATTTTTTTTTAAGTTCAAACAGTATGCACCAAAATTTCATTTTCGAATCAGATTTTTGTCTAGTTTTAGATTTATTTTTATTGTGGGAAATTTTAGAAAGATTTTGTTCTAATAATTTTATGGATACATATTTAAAAGATTTGGTAATAGGATAAAATTATAAAATTTGCTGGTTGTCTTGGGAAGAAATTTAGTTTTTTGAGTTCAAAGAGTACACACTAAAATTTCATCGTTGAACCAGATTTGTATTTGGTTTTATTTTTATTGTGAGAGATTTTAGAGAGATTTTGTTGCAATAAAGATATAGATGCACATTTAAGAGATTTGGTAATAAGATAAAATTATAAAATATGCAAGTTGTCTTGGGCCAAAATGTATTTTTTGGAGTTTGAAACGTTTGCACCAAAATTTCAATAACTCAACCAAAATTTGATTAGTTTTATTTTTATTGTGGGAAATTTTAGAGAGACATTGTTGTATTAATTATATGGATACACATTTAAGAGAATGTAAAATAAGATAAAATTATAAAATATGCAAGTTGTCTTAGGGCAAAATGTATTTTCTGGGATTTGAAATTTACGCACCAAAATTTTATTGTCGAATTAGGTTTGATTTGGTTTTAATTTTATTATGGGAAATTTGAGAGAGATTTTGTTGTAATAATTGGATGTATGCACATTTAAAAGAATGTAAAATAAGATAAATTGTAAAATATGCAAGTTGTCTTGGGCCAAAATGTATTTTTTTGAGTTCAAAGTGTTATGTACCAAAATTTCCTTGACGAACCAGATTTGTATTTGGTTTTATTTTTGTTGTGGGAAAGCTGAGACTTTTTGTTCTAATAACTTTATGGATACACATTTAAAAGAATGTAAAATAAAATAAAATAATAAAATTTGGTGGTTGTCTTGGGACGAAATGTATTTTTTTGAGACCAAAATGTACACACCAAAATTTCTATAGATCGAACCAGATTTTTGTGTATTTCTGGAGTTATTTTTATTGTGGGAAATTTTACAAGAGATTTTGTTCTAATAATCTTATGGATACACATTTAAAAGAATGTAAAATAATATAAAATTAAAAAATATGCAAGTTGTCTAGGGCCAAAATGTATTTTTTTGAGTTCAAAGTGTTATGTACCAAAATTTCCTTGACGAACCAGATTTGTATTTGGTTTTATTTTTATTGTGGGAACTTTCAGAGAGATTTTGTTCTACTAATTTTGAGGATACACATTTAAAAGAATGAAAAATAAGATAAAATTATAAAATTTGTTGGTTGTCTTGGGATAAAATGTATTTTTTGGAGTTCAAAGTGTTATGCACCGAAATTTCTATAAGTCGAACCAGATTTTTGTGTATTTCTGGAGTTATTTTTATTGTGGGAAATTTTAGAAAGATTTTGTTTTAATAATTATTGGGATACACATTTAAGAGTCTGTAAAATAAGATAAAATTATAAAATATGCAGGTTGCCTTGGGACGAAATGTATTTTTTGGAGTTCAAAGTGTACTTACCAAAATTTTTGTAGGTTGAACCAGATTCGTGTTTAGTTTTAGTTTTATTTTTATTGTGGGAAATTTTACGAGAGATTTTGTTGTAATAATTTTATGGATGCGCATTTAAAAGATTTGGTAATAAGGTAAAATTATAAAATGCGTATGTTTTCTTGGGACAAAATGTTTTTTTTTTGTGTTCAAAGTGTAAACCAAAATTTCTATAGGTCGAATCGGATTTTTGTCTATTTCTGGAGTTATTCAGATTCATGTTTAGTTTTAGTTTCATTTTTATTATGGGAAATTTCGGAGAGATATAGTTCTAATAATTTGATGGATGCACATTTAAAAGAATGTAAAATAAGATAAAATTATAAAATTTGGTGGTTGCCTTGGGACGAAATATATTTTTTTAAGTTCAAACAGTACTCACCAAAATTTCATTGTCGAACCCGATATGTATTCAGGTTTATTTTTTTTTGTGGAAAATTTTATGAGAGATTTTGGTGTAATAATTTTATGGGTGCACATTTAAAAGAATGTAAAATAAGATAAAATTATAAAATTTGGTGGTTGCCTTGGGACGAAATGTATTTTTTTGAGTTCAAAGTATACGCACCAAAATTTCAATAATTTGGACAAGATTTTTGTTTAGTTTTGAAGTTATTTTTATTGTGAGAAATTTAAGAGAGATTTTGTTCTAATAATTTTATAGATGCACATTTAAGAGAATATAAAATAAGATAAAATTATAAAGTATGCAAGTTGTCTTGGAACAATACATATTTTCTGGGTTTTGAAATAAACAAGTCGTCGTGAGTCTTTTTTCCAATTTTGGTCTCAAACGATTCAAAACGACTTGAAACATCAAAAAATCCAAAAACAAGCAACTTTCTTATTTGTATCTATTACTATAAGTATATATTCCCCTTTTAGCATGCAGTCTACAACGAGACAGTCCAAATCACAGAAGTCGAGGAAGGTCTCGATGGAGAGACTTTCTTCTTGTACGTTTTCTTGGTGGGACTTGTAGTCTTGCTTTTGGTTCTTGGACAACAGTTCTTGATCAGCAAAGGCGGTAAGAGGTCTCAATCTGCCAGCTCGAAGAGGAAGATCGAAACTGGCACCAGGGACAACCCTAATGATGTCGATTTCGATTGGCTGCCGAAGGAAACTTTGAACCAACTCAGTAAGTGATAATAATAATAATAGTAATATATATATATATATATATATATATATATATATGGTTGTCAAAAATCTCCCTTCCGCTTTTTTGCTCTTGTTTTATACAATAAGGCGGTTTAATACAAAAAGGCGGAAGGGAGATATTTGACAACCTATTATATATATATATATATACTAGCTGGCCCGGCAAACGTTGTTTTGCTAAGTAAGGTATATTCTAAACAATTTCTAGAGAATCAAAACTATCAATACTTTAAGTGTATAAGGATGTGTTGTTTCAATGCTATATACAATGAGGTATTATAAAAACAATTATAAATCCCATTAGTTTGTCTATATTTTGTCAATACAATCAAACTGGAAGTTTTATACACTTTCTATAGAAAACACGGTATAATCCAATCCAAGTATTTTTAGGTCTTTATACTTATTGATTACGTTTCAAGTTTTTCAGATTCTTTTTGCATTCTGAATTTTGTGTATAATTATAAATAATACTACTGAGCTTATACCAAAATTTCAAATTTCTACGAGGAGAGATAGAAAATGAATTAAGTATTTCTTCTTTGACCTGCTTTTTGAAAAGTTTTAAGTAACATTCGATGAATTAAAGTAAATTTAATAAAAAGTATATATGTAGAGCAGGGCGAGACACAAAGGTCCAATTTGACTGTGAGCAAATATAAACTATATTATGAAAACTAAATCAATTATATCACAACAAATAACATATTTCAAACGAACAATTATCTGACTACGTTCAGTAAAACTGCTAGCTACTTCATCATTGTAAAAATGTCCTTTTTTGAAAATTTGTTATCTAGACCTTTTTACTCTATAGGCGGAGTAACTTGGAACGTCCAGGTCGCAAACGGGTTTAATGTCTTATTTTAATTTTAAAAGTATTTTACAAAATAATTACACTTTTAACTAATGCTAAAAAACTAACAACGGAAGAAAATACTTTTATTATGGATTTTCAAAGATTACCGTTTATCTCCCGATAGCAAAGTCATGAGAATCAAGGTTATAGCTGGTTATACATCTTTTTCCCTCTACTTTCAAATATTGTTGTTAAACAATGCTTAACTTTACTGGTTTTTCACACATCGGTGGTGGACCTTTTTAACCCCGTACCTTCATATATTACTATCTACCTAGAAAATCTTTTATGAATACCAATGAGTATATAATTATACAAATGAGATCTTTCAGAGCACCGTGTTTGAGAAAAATATGCCAAAAAGTGCATTTTCATAATAACATTTCAAAAATGTTGTTATTTGAGCTTCTAATAACACTTGCGGCCCGTTTACTAACGATTTTGTATATAAATATAACTACGAACAAAACTACTTACTACAATTTAATCACAATTAAATAATATTCACGTAAAACATCCTATTAAACGTAATTGAACATCATCTGTCGAAAACGTTTGACATTTGACGTATTAGCCACCGTCGATTGTTTTCCAATTACGCTTCTACAAAAATGTTCAAATTAAAAATGTAAAGTCTCAACGCGATTTTGAAATAATATTTCACCTTTTGGACTTTCTCTGGATTGGCACGAATTTTTCAAGACTAAGACTGGCCAAATCGGTTTAGCCGTTTTCGAGTTTTACTTGGACATTTGAAACAGAGCTCCATTTTTATATATAAGAATATATATGTATATATATATATATATATATATATATATATATATAAATCAATTTTTTTTCCTTTAGGTAAGTCTCCAAAGGCGCCCAAACAGAGCCCGAGGCAAAGAAAAGTTAAAAGGTCAGTCGGTTCCGATGACTAGAGTGTTTTGAATTTTTTTTTATTTCTTTGATTTTTTTTCATGAGTTAGCAATAACAATACTAATTGTCATCGTGTGACTGTGTGAGCGTAAATAATTTATGCGAGTGATCACATAAAAACTATTTTTTTTTTTGAACAGAACAAATTAATTAAAGCAATATAAAGGTAGGGGGCACGATTATAAAAGATATTTTGTTGGAATGAGAGATATATTTCTATTTGAGACTTTGGGAGTAAGTCTATTGGAATGATTTAAGTCTTGTACCAAGCCAAGTATTTTAATCAAAGTTCTAGTTACAATGGGACAAGATAATTCATTTTTCGATTATGATGATATTTACTATTGAAACAAAAAATAAAATTGATCCAATAAATTCTTTTACAAATAAACAAAGCAAAAACAACCTATCAAAGTGATCTTTCTGATTAATATTTTGATTCACAATAATACTCAAATTTAAAATAAAGTTTTGTGTATATATATAAACTCTTTGCACTTTGATAGTTTGCTTGTTGTTTTTGAAAAACTATTGTATTTTGTTTAAAAAATTTCTTGACAATATAGAGCAATTAATTTACAACTAATAATTTAAAATATATTCTGATAAAAATTATCAATTACAATCGTGCCTCCTTGTTTCTTCAAATTTTGTGTTTTTTCTTTTCAATTTCAAATTGATAAATTATCTATTTACTTTAATTGACTCAGAAAACCATTTAGAGTGAAATCGGATCGTCCATATATACATATATAAATATATTTATAATAGTTATTTTATAAGATGTGATTTTGTACTGGTTTTAAGTTTAAATTAAAGAAGAGAGAAAAAAGTGGAAACAGGTTTGTTTTATTTTATTTATATATTTATTATTTATTAACTTCCGTAGGGTAAGTTATTGTAATGGGCCGAAAATCGAAATTGAAAATTTTTACATTTCTCGACGTTTTGAAGGTTTCTGAACGTTTTGGCATACACCAGAAAAAATGGATGTGTGTGTGTGTGTTTTGTGTATCCGCATTTTTTCGTCCACGTTTTCGGGCGCACGGATCAACCGATTTGAATGGTTCAAAAAACATTCGATTCCTATTGATAGGGAAAAGAGCTGATTAGTTTTTGGCAAAGGCAGGTCCAACCGTTACGGAGACACGGAACAAAGAGTGCAGAAAATACAAATCGAGTTTTTGAGAGAACGGAGTATCCGATTTGAATGATCTAAAAAACATTCAATTTGTAATGATTGGGAGAAGAGGTGATTAGTTTTTGCTAAAGACAGGTCGCGCCATTTCGAAGATACAGAGCTAAAAGTTCAAAAAATGACAGTTTTTGAGTGAACTGAGCGTCTGATTTGAATGATCTAAAAAACTTTTTGCTTGTATTGACAAAACAATTGCCTTTTGAGGGTAAAAACTTATTACATCTTTTTTTATTTTCCATAAAATATTTTTGTAATTTTAGATTGAAAATTGAAAAAATTACCCAGGCTAAGTACAGTCTAAGTGCCACTCTGGTACAAATGTTTACCCAAGTGCATTTATGTGCTGGAGCACTTTTCCAATTTTGTAAAAACTATTGAAAAATGTGAAAATGCCGCCAAGTTAAGTACAGTATAAGTGAAAATGTCGCACAGAATTATTTGCAAATGCGTTTAGACTGTGACTATATGGGAGCACATTTTCAATTTTGTGTAAATTAGGCAACTATTTTTTTTTTTTTTTGAAATTGAATTCGAAATGATTGGCGATAAATTGATTGATTTATGATTTACATTTGATTTGCTCAGATATAACAAGATAGCAAAGATAATGAAAGTTACAGCATTTGTAATAATATATTTGAAAACGTCGAAAATTTCTCGAATATTTCATTATGGGACGGGAAGTTCCAGCAATTTGTCTTAAGGCACAATGCCATACACCACTAGTTATATATTTAATTTGAGTATGAGAGTTTTTAGAAATTTATTTAAAATCCATACGTTTCGGATAGCATCTTAGCCTTCATTCAGTGGCAATCAATTTAACTATAAAAATTAGAAGTAAATAAATAATATGTAAGAAAATTCATAGAAAAACAATAATATTAATAATAATAATAAATGACTTACAATTTTGTATTCTAATTGATGATAAAACACTCGAATAAACATGAATAACTTAACAAGTTGTCAAAACTATGTATGTATTTACTATTCGAAGTCTAAGATAGAAATATCACGTTTATTCTTGAAACAGTTCTTAACATGTGTTCCATTTTTACGAGAAATTTAAAAAGCGATGAGATCTTGTTACTTTTTAAGAAATTTAGGAACCACGTGTTTGTTTCGTTCAGGACCGTATTGCCGAATCGTTTCGGCTATAATCCTAGCCTTCATTCTGTGGAAGCTAACCAAACCAAATTTAGTAAATGTATTTTATAAAGTATATAGTTTTTAATCAGATATAAATGTTTGCGGTGGATGACTCTTACCACTTCGTGTGAATATATTACATAACAATCGGTCAAGCTATTTTGGAGCTTTAACTTCAGAAAATTTTAAACAAAAGAAACTGAAAAACATTCACAAAAAGTAGGACAATTGTTCAGTTATCGAGTTGCATATAAAATTACTGGATTACTAAAACGACTATTACAAAATAAGCTGGAGGGTGAAAATTTAAGGTCGTATATATTCTTTTTGCAATATTTAAAATAAAGCATGTTTTTGGATTAACTCTGCTTTTTTACAGTTTGTGCTTTTGGCTTGTACTAAAGGCGGCAGATTTTATTCATTTGTTTCACATTTTATTTTGTTTCTATATGCAGGTCGAAGAAATCTAAAAACTAGAAGATTGCATATTTAATAGTGTAATTTAAATATTTATAATTTGCAAGTGCAAGGCTGTGGCTGATACATCTTACAAATAATAGTTTTAGAAGAAAATGTACAAAGTAAAGAAATAAAGTAGGAGAAAATAAGTAAAGGAGTATCTAGTACAAAATGGTAAATTTTAATTTAATTTAAACTTATATCTAACTTATAAATAATTTCTAAAGTTATCATCAATTCAAAGCAATGCATATTAATAATAGACGATGAAGGAAGATGAATATTGTTTCCACATTTCACAATCTTTTATCTATACTGAATATTTATATCCATAAATATGTTTACATACAACAGTTTCAATTAATTATCTATCAATGATTATAAATCCAATCAAATATTTTTATCTATTAAATACCTTCAGAAGAATTTATTAATTATGATGCATAGAAAATATTTCCAATGCATAAATATTTATACTAAACAAAATCTGTGAATGTCGCCAAACAAAATTTAGAATTAATCTGTTTTATCTGTGGAATGGAATTTAGATATTTTGGTAAATGAAATAATTTGGAAATGTAGTTTGTATTTATATTGTTCAGTGCAATTTAAACTTTTCAATAGAACACACAGTAATTGAATTAATTTTTTTTTTAAATAATTTTAATATATTATTTAGCTCTGTTATGAAAATTAAACAACAATAATAATAGGAGTTTGTGCCAGGGGTGAAAATTTAAGGTTGTATGTATTTTTTTTTAGATATAATAGTAGATATAAGTGTATGTGGTGTAGGAAAAATAAATGTTAGTTGATTTTTAATCCTGCTTGAATATAAATATTAAAGTTTTGTTAAAGGGTAACTCGATGTGATAAATATTTCATTGATAACAGTTTTTAGCAAGACACTATTACTAATTATATCTTTTATCTACAATTTTATTTTGCAATAAACTGTGTGACCATCTTTTTTATAATTTACGTTCCATTTTTACGAGTAATTTAAAAAGCGATGAGATCTTGTTACTTTTTAAGAATTTTAGAAACCACGTGTTTGTTTCGTTCAGGGAGCTATTAACTTCGGAAAGTTCTCTCATATGTCACCCATAAACTGAACTGATTTTGAAAATTTAAAAACAATTCTAAAGATGTTTTGGATATCAGTAGGGAATCATGCTGATTAGTTTTTGGTAAAGATCAGCCAGACCGTTTTGACAATTTTAGTTAATAGAGCACACTATAGATAAAAGAAGAGTATATAGGAGCACACTAAGCCACTTTTCAAATTTAAACAAATGTGTAACTTATTGTAATGAAATTATAATTTATTATTTATATTTTACAAATTAGGACTGGAACACAGCGTTGTTATATAATATCTATTTTATCAGACACCAGGCCAGTAAATTTATACATTTAAAAATTAATTTTATCATTGCTTCTAATACAAATATAAACTTTTGAAATTTCATAAATGCCGCCATTTTTCAAACTCTTTCTATACATGCCGCCATTTTTAAAACAGAACTGTCAACGATCATATCGACATTACGAAAATAAATAATTATACAAATAAATGCAATTTCCATTATACACAGTAATATTAAACCTTCATACAACATTCTTATAATATTATAATAATAATTATACATACATTATTATTTGAATATTAAAATTGTTCACAATCTTTTATCACAGTCTTACTGAAACACGTACAGATGTCACGACTTGTACATTGGTACACCTGCAACGAACATATAGACGAAAATATTAAACAAAACTTTAAAAAAACATAATTTTTACACAAAAACTCCGCAAAATTCTGTTATTACTACTTTAACCATTTTTATTACCATAAATTAAGTAATTTTATTATTATTATCGCCCACGTGTATGTAAGTCCTTTTTGTGCAACAAGTGTTTGACATTTGTGACAGTTTCCGAAAGGAGAGGGATCGTGTAACAAGTGCTAACCGGCATGGGAGGAAAAGATAATTTTAAATTAATTTAAAACATAAGTTGCAATGGTTTTGGAGTCTTAGATGTAAGTTATTAAATGGTGATTTAGTGGGTAAATGTTTTGTGTTTGTTGTAAAGGAGATATTTAAGGTTTTGTGAGGGGTTTTTGACAGCTTCGACCTTCGAAACATATGTGAGTATTATTGATAAGGTTAATATTGTGTATATATGTGTATTTGTATATATATATATATATATATATATAATTGAAAATATTTTTACGTGTATTTTAATAAATTAATTAATTATTAATAATTAATTAATTGACAGTTCCATAAATCAAAATGTCGGTTTCAACAGAAGTTTGTTTAAAGCAATAGAATTTGTTTAAAATATTTATTTATTTAATAAAAGTGAGGAAAATACTAATTTTATAAGATTAATGTTTGTTGGAATATACAAACCCATTTAAAAATATACTTATGCTATTAAATCTTAATTATTTTTATTTTATATTAATTATTGTAAAAATTTAATTGACAGTTCTAAATTCAAAATGTCGGTTCAACAGTTGTTTGTTTAAAAATAATAATATTTTGTTTAAATTAATTATTTGACAAAGAATACTAATTATATAGTTCTAATATTTGTTAAAATATTAAAAACCAATTGAAAATATATATACATACTATTAAATTCTAATTATTCTTATTCTAATTATCTATATTAATTATTGTAAAATTTAGTTGACAGTTCTAAAAACAAAATGTCGGTTCAACAGTATTTTGTTTAAAAAAAAATAGTATTTTATTTAAAATATATATTTATTTAGTATAGAAATACTTATTTTATGATCCTAATATTTTTATTAAAATCCAATTAAAATTATTATAAAATTTTAATTACCATTATATTAAGGCTTAAAATTCATTCAAACTCAATTGGGTCTTTTTAGCATTTTTCAAAATTTTTGTTTACTTTTGGTTATATTTTATAATTTCTGGGTATTATTCAGAATTTTGCAACATTTAGTTTATTTTTGGTTCTTTTCCAGCATTTTTGGAAAATTTGTTTGATTTTGATTCTTAATTAATAGTTTGTGAGAATTTTCAGCATTTTGTAATATTTAATTCATTTTTGCATTTTTTTTTCAGCATTTTTGAGACTTTTGTTTACTTTTATTAACGTTTTTATTAGTTTTATTAACATTTAGTTCATTTTCGGTCCTTTTCCAGTATTTTTGGAAATCTTGTTTATTTTTTAATCCTTTTCATAATTTCTGAGTATTTTTTAGCATTTTGTGATATTTAGTTAATTTATGAGACTTACCAGCATTTTTTATTTTACCAAATATGAAAAGATCCAAAAATAATCAAAAGTCCCAAAAATTAACGAAATATCACAAAATACTGAAAACTAATCAGAAAAAATATACAGAAACAAACAAAAGTTCCAAAAATGCTGAAAAAAGACAAGAAATTAACTGGAAATGCTGGAAATTAACTGGAAAAAGCAAAAACTGAACTAAATTTCTCAAAAATGCTAGAAAAAAGTCTGAAATGATGAAAAATGTCCCAAAACAAACAAAAGCTCCCAAAATGCTGAAAAGGATTCAAATATGAACTAAATAACACTAAATGCTGAAAATACTCAGAAATGATAAAAATATCTAAAAACAAACAAAAGTCCCAAAACTGCTGAAAAAAGACAAGAAATTAACAAAATTTCTCAAAAAATTCTGGAAAATACTCTGAAATAATATCAAAAAACAAATACGTTTTAAGTCTCAAAAATTCTGCCTAATTTTATTTGAGGGAATTCTTTATTTTAAAACGGGAAAAGAAAATTAATCCTTGTTCAGAAAACAAAATCAAAATTAGTAAATAATAAAAATTATATAAAATTCAATTTTGTTTAAGTATCCTCATCCTTGTCCCTCTACCAAAAATCTTCTTTTCGAACACAATGGAGTTAGTTAATGTTTTTATAATGCGCTTAACATTTTTTTTGCCTTCGTTTTCTAATTCAAAAAATCCTTTATCCTTATGAATAAGCGTGAATGAGCTCCGACTGACTTTTTCATACATAATTCAAAAGGTCCTTTTTTCTTTGTATTATGCCTGTTTTTGGTTTTTAGTTTTTGTCTTGAAAGGACACTATGGGGTGTGTCTGCACAATAATAGACAATTTGTGGACCACTATTTTGTTGAATTTATTCGTTAATATTAAGGTGGTGGAATCTCCGTAGCCGTGAAGTAGGAGTAGGAGCTTTGGACTTGCAACCTGAGATGAAAAGATGGATATAAAATCTCGTTAACTTTCGGTGGGGCAAGTTCTAGTAATCGCAAAAAAATCGAAAATGAAAATTTTTATATATCTTTACGTTTCAGAGGTTTCTGAGTATTTTGGCATACCTTAGAAAAAAATGTATGTGTGTGTATGTGTGTGTGTGTGCGTGTGTGTGCGTGTGTGTATGTGAGTCGGATACAAATTTTCGTCGACGATTTCGGAAACACGGATAAAGCGTTTGAATAATTCAAAAAACATTCGATTTGTATTGATAAGAAGACGTGCTGATTAGTTTTTGACGAAGGCAGGTCTAGCCGTTCCGAAGATATGGGGCAAAAAGTGCCAAAAACGGTAACTCAGTTTTTAAGAGATCGGAGCGTCCGATTTGAACAATTCAAAAAACATTTTACGTGTATTAACAAGATGAAGAACTGATCAATTTTTGGAAAGGAAGGTGCAACTACTTCGGAGATATGGAGAAAAAAGTAACAAAATGAGCCATTTGGCAGTCAAAAATGAACATTAGACATATGCACATCAAATTATCAGATATTTTATAGAGATTTTAACAATAAGTATACATTTAGTTTACTTACTTAATTTCTATGAGTTCCGTACCAAGGCTTATCCGTTAGACGGCGGCGCGGCGCTTACGCGCTTCGATATTTCGTCTCTATGCAGTTAAAGCAGTTCAAAATACACTTTTCTTCAAAAAGTCTTTTTTTCAAAAAAAGTAAATTTTTGTCAAAAATTTATAGTTTCTCAAAAATCTATTTTTTCTGAGTAATTTTTTTTCAAAAACGTTAATCTTTTAAAAAAAATAATAATTTTCGGTACGGGAAGTTCTAGCAATTTGTCTTAAGGCAAGTTGCCATGCGCCCCACTAGTTTTAAATTGTCTTTGTTTTACGGGTATCGTAATAAAGAAAGTGCATCGAATATTTTTCGAACTTTTCAAACAAACAAAAAAATCATCTATTAACGATTTGCGCAAATCCTCCCCCATCCCTCGTTAACTTGTCCACTTGTCCACTTGAACTTAATCCCGTTCCCTGGATTTATTTACCATTTCGGATGATTTATGACACGTTTTGCTTGGTGCTTAAAGTTTGATTTTACACCTTTACTACCGAGAAAAACACTCGAGAAGACAGTGGGATTCTCAAGTGGGCCCCCATTGTTGCCATTTAGCATTTATTGTCCTGCACAAAATGCACAATGCCATTAAAGGACGAACCATGAAAGAAAGGACGACCGAGGTATGTGAGAACTTTTTGGGAGAAATAGATAGACAACTGGAATGCAAGAATACCTACTTGAAATCATTAACATCCAAATCGACGAAAATAATAAACAATAGTTATTATAAGGTTATTTATCAAAGTTCTATTCTATTATGAAAAGTTTAAAAATTAAAAAAGCGTACACTGATTAAAAAGTTCGAAAATAAATCAAAAACAGGCGGTGTAAGTCAAATTGCTGGACCTGCTTATACCATAATTTAATTTTTTTATTGAAAAAATCAGATTGTCTTGAGAATTTTATTTTATTTTTAACATTTTTGAATTTTTTGAAAAAGAAAAAAACTTTTTTGAGCCATTTATGATTTTTGGAATCCATTCAAGTCGGTTTGACCGCTAAATGGCATTTTTCTCAAAAATATAATCAATTTTTCATTTTCTCATTGCAATTGATATAATAATAATAAATAATAAATGGTAGTCTGCCCGAAGGCAGTTCTACAAATAAATGATTCCCTTACCCTTTAACCTGTTATCATTATTCCCCTTCCCTATTTTTTTTCTATTTTGCAATTGATATATTACCATAAATGGTCAAAAATTCCTACAAATAATCACAAGCTGACAAAAATTATCACTAAGCTCAAAAAATTATAAAAATTATTAAAAACTTCTAACATGTACCAAAATGACCCAAAAAAGGTGAAAGGGTTTATAAAGGAAAAATAATCAAATATTTCAAATATGAACAAACATTCTTAAACATGATAAAAAATTATCAAAAGAGCTCAAATCAACAATCATGTCCCAAAAATTCAGTGGTCAGAGATGGTCAAAAAGTCCCAAAAATTTATAGAAAAATTCTAAAAAAAATGAAAAGCTGTCAAGTACATTTTTATTGTTTTTTGGGTATTTTGATTAATTATTTACATTATTAACATTTCTTCAAGTTTCAGAGGTTTCTGAACATTTTGGCATAGCTCAGAAAAAATTGTATATGTGTGTGTGTATGTATGGATACAATTTTTTGTCCACGTTTTCGGGCGCACGGTTCAACCGATTGATAGGGAGATGTGCTGATTACTTTTTGGCAAAGGCAGGTCCAACAATTACGGATATACAGAGCAAAGAGTGCAGAAAATACAAGTTTTGAGAGAACGGAGTATCGGATTTGAATGATCTAAAAAACATTCAGTTTGTGTTTGATTAGGAGAAGTTGTGATTAGTTTTTGGCAAAGGCAGGCCTACCCGTTTTGGAGATACAGAGCTAAATGTGCAAAAAATGGCAGTTTTAGAGAGAACTAAGCGTCCGATTTAAAGGATTCAAAGAACTTTCTGCTTGTCTTAACAAAATAATTGATTTTGGAAAAAAAAATTTTGATTTCAACTTTTTTTTAAAAAAAACAAAAATTGTGTATCGAAAATAAATCAGATTTTATTTTTAATTCTGACGAAAGTTCTAATATACTTTAAACAAATAAATTCAACTTTGCAATTCAGTTTATATAATTCTTATATTAGACAATGTTACAATATTTATTTATAATAATCTATTTGAAAACATTTAATATTTCTCGAATATTTCGTTACGGCACGGGAAGGTCTAGCAATTTGCCTAAAGGAACGATGCTATACACCACTAGTTTTTGTTTTTTTAAATCAAC